GCTGATTGGTTACTTCTATGACGCATTCTCTATTCCGCAGTCGTTTTCCGCACTGTGTGATTTCATCCTTAGGGCTATCAGACACAAAATGACGGATGTGTTCCAAATTTACTGCCAGTACTGAAAATCTGTAGTTTATGTCACGTGTTCTATAGATTTTCTGTACTTGCAGTAAATTTTGGAACACAGCCATAAGACGTACCGTAAGAATTAGCCAATCTCTCACAGAATGTTTTTGAACTCTTAAATTTAATTGGCCGATCTTACGATATGTCTTAAGGCCCGTCTACAATACACGGAGTAAGAAGTAAGAGTAAGAAATTGACCAGTTACAGTCGATTATTCTTCTCACATTCGACTGCGATTGGTCAATTTCTTACTCTTACTTCTTACTCCGTGTATTGTAGACGGGCCTTTATGGTTAGTGTTACTCCGGAACTACAATAGATTTTTAAGCCTTAAGCCATAAGGAATGGACGAATCACAATCAATTATTCTCCTCCCATTCGACTGTAGTTGGTCAATTTTTTACGACTTAAGGCTTAAAACACTTATTGTAGATCCGGACTTACGGAAGGTGTGTGCCATGGCCTTAAGGGCTGCCGCACACAACATTTTTATAACAGTAATCCTAAGACGTAAACTTAAGCCGATGAGCAAATCAATATAACACATAATATAACACACGTGTTATATTACAGTTATATTGTTGAGTGGGAAATTACAACTAACGGTTACGTTACATGTAACTTTGTGTTTGCTAGGTATTTATACTCTTCAACCTCTTCTTTAATATTTGCTTGTTCTATATTTCTATCTCGTGTTATAAGTGTAATTATTTTGCATTCATTATGATTCTTTACAAATTAAAGTACAAGTTTACAGTTATAAAATTCTTGGGACGAGGTGTTTCTTATAGATTTTTTTAAAAGCAATGTTGTAAGCCAATAAATTTCAACAGATTTCCAGAATAACTAAGTAACTAAGGTTTAATATCCTGAAACAGCTTTTCTTATGATATTTGACATTTTGTTTTGTAAAAAGGTTTAATGTTATCCTGAAACTTCAATTATTAGATTAGTGCAAAAGTTTGTTTGTAATGTAAAATAAATTGTAAATGGGGCACGAACTTTCGATCGTTTGTAATGTAAAATAAATTGTAAATGAGGCACGAACTTTCGCACTGGTCTAGTAGAATAAGTCACGAATGTATTCTTCATAACTTCTAAAATGCAGTACTCTTTTATTCCAATATCATTTTTTTAGCCATTTTACGTACAGCGTTTTTCTAAGATAGTGAATTTTCTATCTATAACGATGAAGTCATGTACACAATTATATAGGTCATATACATATATATTATAATTTCTGCTATCGGCTGTCGATACACAAACATAAAACATTCTTCGAAAATGCGTATTTTTTCCGAGATGGCTAAT